GCTGAAATAGCCATGGTCATTCCTGGAAAAGATGTGGCCTTGGTGTCTCTCTAAAATCTCAACACATGGCTCTGTGTCTGTTGTACCTTCACACATGTGTAAGTCACCCATGTTGTTGGCACTGATGCACCCCCACACCACAGATGCTGGTTTTTGTTAATAACAATCTTGATGGTTTTTCTCATCTTCGGAACCCGACGTTTCCTGATAAAAAACTGAAACATGGACTCGTCTGACCACAGAACGTTTCACTGTCTGTGGGTACATCTGAGTTGAACTTGATCTGAGTATCTCTTCCTGTCACTGTCTATGAGCTATTACCAGTTTCCACCGCATATTACAACTATTTAAATATGCCAGTGACACATTTTTCAAAAGCACTTTTCCTTTCTTACAAGTTTCCATTGATTTCATTTCATTTCAGGTGAAAATCAACTCATAATGTACTCAGGGCAGTTTAAAGCACTGTGTTCAGCTATTTCTTTTTTTGTGGTGCATTCATATGCTGGAGTGAAGATCTGAAACAGAGCTCTGCCATTCAACTGTCATCTAGCAGCCAAACATCACAGTTCTATGTTAAAAGCTACAGTGGCTGTCAGTTGCCATTGAGCAGCACTTTACTGTTGTTTGTTATATGCTTGTAGAAGCTTCTTTGGTCTCCCCATTTCTAAAAATGCACTGGTTGTCTGATTTCTTTTGCTGTATTTGCTGATGTGTTTTGGAAGAAGGTGGGAAGGGTAGTGACCAGGACAGAGGTACCACAGACCAACAAGGAGTCCGATGCAGTAGGCACAGCTACCGGCCGCAATGCCTTGAATTTCAGGAGGCATTTAGATAATACATAAAGTATGTTATTCTTTATCAGTATGTACTGAAGGAAATATGGTAGAACCCGCATGTAACCAAAAGCCCCTGTGTTCACTTTAATCCTGGTCTGTTTTACATGTTTTAAATGGACTAAAAGAAGCCATCAGTACCAAAAGGTCCTGTTCATGTGAACAAGTATAGTTCCTTTAGTTTGCCCTGTAACAAAATACTGATGGCATTCATGAAACAACACTGTAGATAGTTTCAACAAAGACAGAAGACTGTCACTTTCACCCAGGTAGGATTTATTGCAGGGCTCTTGGATTAGATTGCATTGGGGCAGCTAGATGCTGTACACCTGATAATCTGGAAACTCAGTGTTTGTTCAAGAGGTTATGCCAAGATAGCTTCTATTAAGAGAGAACTAGTAACTGCGATCCATCATGACATTTCGGTACTGCTGTGTGTGCATGGTTTAGTCTTTTCACTCTGTGTGTGCCCTGTGGTGTTTTTGTCAGCTGATATGGTGGCTCTCATCAATTTTTACAACATTGACCTTTCATTTTTATTTGACTTTGAGTGCCAGGAGAGAGGTAAGCAGGATCCAAAAACAGAATCAGGAGGTCTGGACAATAAATGAAGTTTTTTTATTTGGTTACTTCAGGCTTTATTCTGAATTCACCCTAATCAATACCACATGAGACAGTTCACTACACTTATCTTTTCTCTCTATCCCCCCCTTTTCTTGCAGACTGCATCATTTTACCTTAGAGCTTTATGACACTTTAGATTGAATTGAATGTATATTAATACAAATTAAACCACTTTCTGTGATTTGCCAATTATGGTTTTAGCATAATTATTGAAAAGTACAATAGCTGTCCAACCACACTTTGTGTGAAGTGTTAAGTGCCACTGCTGTCAATTGCAAGACAAATACAGCAGCTTTTAATAATTAACTTCTTCAGAATCAGCAGCAATAGCTGGAACAAAGCTTTAGACAAATCAAGGTAGAGTGTCATTCATCAAATCTGTCCAACATTGTCTAGATTTTATTCTTTCATGTTAAAAATAATTTATGAAACATGCACTGCATCAGTTTTGTAAGCTGTTTCTCCTTCATGACCATCATCATCAACCTTTTATTAACCAGCGAAAAACCAGCTGAGAGCAACTGTTCATTTTCAGTGATGCCCTGACATACAAATAACTAATTAATGATCTGGTAGAGACAGGTTTAACCTGAGAGGTATAGAAGGTAGGATGAACCTGCATGGAGGGTTAATGACTTTCTCAATGGCAAACTATCCCAAGAAGTATGGAGCCAATTTCCCTCTAGTCAGTCTTTAAGGGAATGTGTCTGGAAGAAAGCTGGAGGAAAGTTGGTGCTGAGCTTCTGTGGGTGTCTGCAAGGCAACGGTTTTGGTCTGAAGTGCAAAGAAGGGCTGCATGTGTCTCCTTCCACATCTTGTGGCAACAATGAAGGTGTAGCTGTACAGAAGGCACAGCGATTTCTATCTCATTGGTGGGAAACAATGGGGGTTGGTATCTCAAAGAGGCTTTGACCAGAAATAGTCCAGTGGCAGAACTAGTGAGGGAGCTGTGGGTGTATTCGACCCAGGGAAGATGGTTACTCCATGTTGTTGGGTTGGTGGCCATAACATCGTAGCGCAACCTCTAGTTCTTGGTTGAGTCTTTCAGCTTTTCTGTTAATCTCAGGATAGAAACTGGAGGACAGACTGACAGTAGCACCAAGAGCTGTACAAAATGCTCTCCAAACCCAAGAGATGAATTGAGGCCCTCAATAAGACACAGTGTCTAGTGGAATGCCATGAAGTCAAAAAACATGGCGTATCATGAGGTCATTGGTTTCTCGAGCTGACAGGTGTGGCAGAATGGTTTGAAAGGACGGCTGGCCTGGATCTGAGCCTGCTGAGTCCATTGTGGCCAGTCTGTTCTGTTAAGACTAATCCGTCTTTCAATAATGTGGATTCTGGACTCAGACACTAAGTAACATTCAAGTCTTTTATTGTACAAAATGATGTCAGGTGTAACTGTTACAAAGAGAAGAAGCTGGCAACTATCTATAGAGGAGGCAGCAGGCAGTGGAATGGTGTAGCTAGGGATCTTTGGCAGGAACAGTTGGCAGACACTCCTCACGAAGGCAGGCAGATCCACAGAGTCCAGGATGGGAGTTCCTGGGAGCTTATTGGCAGCCAAGCTGATAACACAAGAGGGCAGAGAGTCTGACGAGGGATATAACTATTGACAGCTCGAGCAAAGAATGAATGAGTGTCAATAGGACCCAGAGTCAGAGTCATTTAGCTCAGGCAGAATATCAGGCACCTAGCGAGACAGGAGTAGTAAACTGTAGTAAACTAGTAGGAACAGGACATGGGCGAACTCACTGGCACCAGAGAGGAGAAGGCTTGGTGCAAGTGGCTGGTCAGAGCTGGGAGATGGAGGAGAATCCACAGAAGTAGTCTTAGACTGGCGAGCAGCAGAGGCTGAGTGGGGAAGCAAGGGAGGAGAGTCGATGCAGGACAACTTGCACATGTGGATCTGGAACACAAGAGAAAACAAGTCAAGCAGGGTAAATACTTAATTGTAGCAGGAGATGTTTGGCCATGCATATGTACCACATGAGCAGCGGAACAGACTGGCAAAAGATAGGAAGCAGAGTCTGTGGCTAAATATGGTGAGGCTTGATTGTAGAGTGACAACAGCTGTGCTGATCCAAGTGCCAATCAACCAATCAGCTGAGGATAATAAGGGTTGCCACAGCTAGTAAGCCTGGACAAAAAACACAGGACAAGATGGAGAGAGATAAAGAGAGAGACACATGCATGTTCTCTGGCATTAACACCATCAAAACATTAATAAATATATGTACACGGGTCACACAAAGTCAGTATTAAAAATCCAGTAACACAAGTCACACATTAAAACAAAATATATAAAGAAAATCAATGTAAATAAAATTATATTAAAACACAGTATACACATCACCTGTTACAATCACATTTAAACTGCAAAATATAGTGTAAAAGTATTTCAAATTGAGAATATGAAATGAGAGTAGCCAGTTTAGTTTTCTTCTGCAAATTGTTCTATCTTTCCTATTTTAGCATTGGCAACAAAGAGTTGCAGAACAGTACAATCTTGTGAATGGGTCTGGTACGTTGATGATTTATAACTCAGCAGGTACAGTGTGTAATATATTCAGGCAACTTATTAAGTAGGGCTTTATAGATAAATCACATGCAGTGATGCTCTCTTCTCAGTGGCTAAGATGGCTGACCTACTGTCTGATATAATTCACAATGGCGAGCCCTAAAGGGATCGGCAGTAACAAATCTAATAGCAGCATGATACACCGAGTCAAGCGGTTTCAGGTTTTTGGCAGAGGCATGTATATAAATTAAACTGCCATAGTCTATTACGGATAAAATTGTTGTTTGTACCAACTGACTCCTGTGACACTCAAAACAAAATCTGTTTCTACACAGAAATAAAAGTCTATGCTTAAGTGAAACTGTTAATTTCTCAATATGCAATTTAAAACTCAGCTTGTTGCCTAACAAAAAGCCAAGATGCTTGTAAGCAGAGACTGTGCCAACAACAGCACCACTCAGTGTAGGTATATTTAAATTTAAATTATTAAAATCAGACCGTGAATGCTGAAAAGCCTGATTAGTAGAGGGGGCCACTGTATAAATTACTGTTATCTGCATATAAATGCATAGTATGGCTAATTGAATTGGATCCTAGATCATTAACAAAAATAGTAAATAAATAAAAATTGTTCAGTTCCAGCAAGCATTTAAACAGTGAGGACCCTTATTTGATGTTGGTGAAATGCAATAATAGCAATAATACCAGTGAGACGGGATAAACATTAATTAGTGACCCTCACCAACTACTGTAGTTACTGATGGCATTTCCCTTACTGTGTTAGGTATTTTCTCAGCCATGTGAAGACAGCCTCTAACCGCGGTGAACACAGTTACACTTGCAGATTTGCTGGTTAAGTTTTGTGCAACCAGCAGCAGACTGCTGCACAATAACCACAGAAACCTCAGTGCTCATGCACACATCAGACATGTTGGTATCTACTGTCGTGCTGAGTACTACACATTACAACTACTTCACACAGTTAATTAAAGTTTTCCCAAAGGAATTTTTGTTTTAATCTTATTTTGTCATTGTTTAATTATTTATATAAAACAAAAATATTTTACAAAACTAGAAGACATATTTTAAAAAATGCAATGTGTAAAAAAAAACTAGACCAATTTTTGGCATTAGTTGAATCCACTTGTGTGCATATTAGTGTGTGATTGCAATGATCCACAGAATAATCATCTGTAGTTCAACGCATATGAGTAAATACAAAAAAGTTAAATACTTAGTGAATGTTAGTGCTCCTCTGTGGCCTTCCTGTCACAACCTTATGAGAAATTTATAGTCAACCTAACTTGACATGTGGGAGGAAGCTGGAGTATCATCTCCCCACAGAAAGGCGCCAGCCCAGATTTGGAACCTGGAACCAAGTTGCTGGGAGGCAACAGTGCTGACCACTGCACCACTATGTCACCCCTTAAAGAAGTCTCATCATCTACATTCTAAAGCTTTGTATTTAATAGACAACAGTAAGTTTCTTCCCAAACTGTCAGTTCTTCATGGGGAAGAGTTCTGTGTTTAAAGGGGATGAAAAGAGTGAATGTGCTTGTCACTGCCTCTAACACACCCACCTATAATGTGTGATAATCTATTCTTTATGATGTCACTCTGTGTCCCAGTGTGCCCCAGTTGCACCAGGCAAGCCTGGCCATCATATTATTGTTTCATTTGGCACACGTCCAGCACATTGGACTACACACTGTGCCCCACCATGGGGTTTGTTTGCAATATTTATTTCTTCATATATGATGTAAACTGTGTTGATGATTCATTTTCTGTAAACCAGTTAAATGATTGTTTCAATAGTGCATCACTGTTGATGAACACAGAAAAGGCAATGAAGTGATAGAGATTATACAGTCATACAATGGTTCACAGTTTAGAGCTGTTATAACCTTCACAGTGCAAAATGGTTGAGTCTGTTATTTAGTTTTTTATTTAAAAAGGCTTTCAGCATCTGTACAGGCCATTCTAAGGGAAGACAGACCAACCAACCTCCACAGTAATGACAGTTATATAGTATATTAGGAACTTTCTTTTGACATTTTCTAAAACTGCAGCTTTTAGAGACTTACTGTACTGTAGATTTTCAAAATACCACAATAAAAGCAGCTTGTACAGTATTTGCACACTCACTCTCCTGTTGAAAAGCAGCTGTTACCCAACCTCTTCTTTGCTGGATTCTTTGCTACATGTAGCTGTACGTGTCAGGCTTATTCTGTGGTGCCATCCCACTGCACTCCCCCCAACAGGCCTGATGGTGATAGGTGCCACCCTCTTCCTTTGATGAAGGGGAGACATGACCATGCATATTCATGTCTGTATAGTAAAATCAGGCTGCTGGTGCACTCCTGGTCCACACTGTGAAGGAGGAGTAGCCTCATTCTGTACAAGAGCCTGACATGTCCTAGACAATGTGGCTCCCAGGTTGGGTGCTGGACCTTAATCAAAAGATGCTATAGTTGTAAGCAGAATTCACTTTCCGTAAGATGTGTCAGATAGTCTCCATTTATAGACAAAATGTCCAACTGTGGACTGACAAATACCCAAAGTCTTTGAGATGACTCTATGACCCTTTCCAGCTACGTACATGCAAATCAACATCTCTTGATCATAGGTCTTCTGAGATCTCTTTTTTAATTTAATCAAATCTGACTTTCACATTCCAGCTTTTCTCTGAAGTTCATTGGCCTTCATTTATGTTCTGTGGATTTAGCCAATAAAGCATTAAAAGGAAAAGGTACAATATATCAGTTTTAAACTAAAAAGACTAATAAAGGCTGATAAATAGTTAATTACTTTCAGTAAACACATCCAGTAATCAATGACCCTCGGTGCTCTAAGAATGGACTGCATTTATTGGTTTCCTTTTTGCAGGCCAGACAATCAGGAGTCTGGAGACTTGTAAAGCAGCTACAACATACAGTATATATACAGAGAACAGTGATATTATCTCACACATAGTTATCCTCAGCACTTCACACTCAGTGTTTCTGTTCGCTCAATGCTGCAGCTCCAGGACTGCATTCGTAACTACAGTGCATACAATTCTATAAAACATATATTTACTTACCTAGTGACAGAAACCTAATGACAGAAAAAATAATCAATTCATTAGAAATTCATCAACAACAACTTTGATAAGTAAGTCATCCAAATATTCAGTCCAGTGTCTCAAACCTTAAATACATTTATATCATTGGAAATGGAATCGCTTTGGATTTTGGATGATTCTTTGGAGAGTTGAAGACAGTTGAAGACATCACCTTGGGGCCTGGAATTTTCTTTCACTATTTTTGGACATTATATTCACTAAACAACAATACTAATTACTCACAAATAACTATAAAGATAGTTTCTGTATCAATATTATATTCATTACTTGTAGCTTTTTATATGGAGAATCCTTTGATTTAGCTGTTTTCTGACACCAGTTGTTAATCGGTTTTGTGGGAATGCAAGGTGCTATACCCTGACTAGGTACTCCTGCCAGTATTCACAGTAAATTAATAGAAATATGAAAGCAATGCTGCCTTCCAGACACTCTCTCCAAAACAAATATTTCCACTAATGGTCATCTGGAATCTAAAATCACTCAGCAGCAGAGAGATGATACATCTCCTTCATGAGTGATAAAGATTGTGTTACTTCATAACTTAGGCTTAGATTTACAGTAGATGTGAGTCTTTGCTTTTATTACCTCAGATCCACAGTAGATATAGCAGGTGTTTGTTTCCTTTGGCCACGAATTTCAGTCTTAATAGGTGACATGTATGAACACTTCTGTTGTTACAGTCACTGTAGCTAAACTGGGCTTGTCAACATGAAAAGGAAACAAGAAGTTTTGCAGTCCTTTTAATGATCATATTTACATTCTTTGCTAAAGTACTTCTGTTAGTTCCTGTACAGGGTTCACATATTAATCCTGCAATAACGTCAGTTATCAGCTGGGAATGTAACAACTAACACTTCATACCCATTTACATTGATATGGTCAACTTGTTACCACACAGTTGATCATCAGATCAACACAACAGATCAATCAGTGTCAGAGCTGCATCCAGGTGCAGACTGGTCTGTCTCTACAAACGTTTGTACATGCAAAGGCTGGTCTACTTTTTTTTCCTCAAGCCCCTCATACATTATATACACAGTCAATGAACAGGCCATTTTAGCTGCAGCAGCACATCTGGTGCAACCTGTACCGCAGTGAGGGCTGTTGCCATCACAACTACAGAGTATCTGGCACTCAGGCAGCTTGGTCATAGCAAATGAAACATGGAGAGAAAGAGAAACCCCGCAGATGGCCGTGCAGAAAAGGAGGGCCAGAAAAAGCAAAATGATCTGCTGGCTGCTGCTGAAAAATGTGTGCAAACAATTTATTAGAGCTGACTGTGTAAATATATAGTATAGTCTCAACATGATTTGCTGTTTCTAATTCAATTCTATGTTGAAACACTTGAAATTTTGTAATATTTTAAATATTTCTAATAATCAAAATAGACTCTTAAGTCATATTAGGTGTCAGGTGAAGATTTCATTAATCAGCTGTTTGCTGCTGATCAGGCCATGTACATACAGTCCGACAGAGGGCTGCCACAGATTCTCAGCATTACTACAAATGGCCCCTTTCATACTGTTTATCATCAGGTACACTGGTATTATAAAAAGATTACTTATTGATTTTAAATGTAGGTTTCTATTACAACCCCCACAAAATCTAGTTTCTCTGGAATACAGAAGTGTTGTGTAGTCATTGTATATACTTGATTAGGTCCTGAGACTGAGATGGGAGCCCTAAAACAAGCAAACAAAGAAAATGAAATATTGTACAAGCACACAGTAGCTCAGTCTGACAGTCAGGAGCATACTAGGAGGCAGGCTTTAAAAACAGAGAATGATGAGCTTGGGTTTAAAAAACTAAACCAAGTGCAAAATGCCAGGTGCGTACATCAGGGGGACTGGGAGCTTGTAGCATTGTAATACACAAAGCCAAGCAAAGACTTAAAAAATTCAAAACCAAATATGTTCATGGATATAGTAAATACTGTAAAGTATTGTTGATTGTATCTTATATGTTCAGTCAAAGGCTGGAGACTATTACAGTCCACACTGTGTACCAAACAGCAGTACAGTCACAGTAGTTAAAATCAGGGAACGTACACCCTGGCCACTGCTATCTGTGATTGGCTGGTGTGCTGAGTCAGGAAGGGGTGGTAAGTATGGCTCTGATCCCTGGATTCACAGCACAGATTTGGTCTTGATGTCCAACTGGGCTGGACTTGCATTTCAGTAATGACACAGAAAACACAATGTTAAGGACAATCCATGACAAGTGACTGATGAAAATCCAAGTTAGAATTTATTGTAATTCACTCCATGTATTCGGTATGAAGGGGTATTAAACTGAGTTTTTGAAGCGCTTTGGTGTACACAGTGAGGAGAAACACAATGAAAAACACAATATATAAGTACACTGTGGTAGACAGTGCTAGTAGTATTAATGTGAGTGAAGGAGAAAATCAAAAATCATAAATCAGCAGTACCCTCACGCATGTAAAGATATACCTCAATTCATTTAAAAAAGTAAAATGGTACAGAAAGTAAAAATCTATGCAAAACAAATATTAACCATTCATACCATAACCATCCATTTTTTGTTGCAGTCATACGGTATCTTTCCAAAGTGTCACTGAGTTTCCTTGTAATTGCTGCTATACTTTTTCCCAGATAGCACGAATGAGTAGACTGCTGCTAGTCACCCTGTGCTAACAGGAACAACGGTGCTGGCACTGGGATGCACTACAGCTTTAGTTACAGGTGTGCATGTTGCACAGTGTGTCCTGGTGTAAAGAAAGGTGAAGTTGGCATACTGGGCATGCTCTTATTAAAAATAGTTACGTATCACTGTCACTGGAAAAGAGACTGAAGGGAACCGTGAAGCCTGAGGCTTTATTACAAACAATACAAGGTTTATTACATCATTTAAATGAAACAACAAGGAGAGTTACAGTTCTGTTTGTTTTCCAGTGTTGCTCAGGGGGGTTTGAAAGACTGGGTGGTCAACTAATGTTTGCAGCGGTGTTTCTGTGAACAAACAAAATAACTGTCACAGCAGTGCAGTGGGACATTAAATATGACAGCTCCATGAAGGAAAGGAGAATGGATTCAACATGAAATAATGTCAGTTACATGCTCTGTCTCTCCATCTGTCCCTGTCTTCGCTAGTTTCATTCCTGGTCGTTAAGCCTCTCCCTCACTGTCTTTGTGTATTAGGCTTCATAGCAGAAACACAGAATATCTTATTACTGGTCCACTGGACATTTGTTACAACACTGTTGTGTTATAATTTGATTTTAATTTAACTTGACAATTTTCAGCTTGTGTACTTAGTGTTTGTCCAGGCACCTGTTGATGTGTGATTTATGAATGAGTCTCTGGCCTGCTGGTTATACTTGCTGATGTAATCACTAAGTTTTAGATCTGTGAATGCTTTTAGTGTTTAACTGTACCTGTCTCAACACCTTGTAGTACTCAGTTCATACAGTATATGCTAAGAAAATACAAAGGAAACATGTTAGCCATATGATATTTCTGTGATCTGTTGTAACGTGGCTAGCTGTAATACTCCACAGTGGAAGAGTACTGTTAATTTGATGGTATTAATGTTTTTGGTAAAATGAAGGTCCTGCTTTATAATTTACCCTCTGTGTCTTTATTTCTGAACCATCACTGAAATGAGCACTTAGTTTCAGAGTTGATTTGAATGGCCCCAGTCCAACTGCTGTGGTTTCCATGGGCTAGAACCACCAGCGAATGCTAGGTTAGTAGTTCATGCTTGAGTCAGGCTGCTGGAGACAATAGGAGGAAAATGAGAGTGGAGCCAGATGCTCTCTGTTACTGCAGGCACACTTTATTTCTCAGTGCTGTGTTCTCAGAGATATTACTCTGGGTGAAAATGAAGTGTGTAGGTAATCTTAATCTTGCAACACTCAAGTATAAAAAAATCAGTTACATATATACTGTACAAAGGTTGGAGTGTAAGCCTGTCTGTGAGTGTGGATTGTTCTTTCTTTTCCGGTTTAGTAGGGTTAATGCATTGTGTATTTAACAGTTCATGTCATGTAACTCCTTAAAATTACAGGAATCTTAATTGGACTTTTTTCAGTATCTACAGTTTCTGTAGGAATATATGTGATGTACTATGCAAAGCATTTGTAAATCATGTCTACTCCATCACAGATAAGATTAGTGTGGCTGACTGCTCTGCAGGTGGGCTGGACGTCACTGTAAGTGGAAACCCTGAATAATTCTCATAATTACAAGTAAGGTATAATAAAACAAATCTGTACTGAAGTCTCATGTTTATAAGAAAAATTACAGATTTATAAAAAAATGAACCACATTAACATGACAAAGTATTGAAGTGGACCAGATGTTTAGAACAGCAAGTGAGAACATTTTAATAGACTACAGTGATACAAGGTGATAAATGAAAAGAAAAACCAAACATAAAGTGTCTCAGTAAGATGCTGGGCCACCACGTGCCACCAGAACAGCTTCAGTGCATCTTGGCATTGACTCTCTATGTCTGTGAGATGAACACCGTTCCTCCAACAGATGTTCCCTCATGTGATGTTCTGATGGTGGTGATGGAGACGCTGTCTAACACGTCGCTCCAAACTCTCCCATAGCTGTTCAACTGGGCTGAGACCTGGTGACTGTGAAGGCCACAGCATCTGGTTCACATTATGTTCATCCTCATCAAACCATTCAGTGACCCCTTGTGTCCTGTGGATGGGGGCACTGTCATCCTGAAGAGGCCACTCCCATCAGGATAGAAATGTTTCATTATAGGTTAGCACTCAGAACAACTTGTATTGATTTGCAGTGACCCTGCTCTCTAAGGAGACACACCATGCCAGCAAAATGCTCCCCACAGCATAGGCACTGTAGGGGTCAAGCATTCAGGTTTTTCTTGTAATTTGCCACCATTCTGTGTACTGAAATGCAGATTCCAGTGACCATACACTCTGAGCTACACAGCCTCCGCCCTTCAAATCATTTCTTTTGTCTCTGTGCAGGTGTCACTCTATGACTGTATGAGGTCATAGCCGATCAACAGCAGTGTTGGGATCAGAGGAGAGTATACCAACATTCACACAATGGAACTTAGATTCAGACGACTGTCCCCTCTCACCAGCGGAGTTCTTCATTTCCTGCTGCTGTCCAGACTGGTGCTGCCTTCTCACACAGAGAGTAAGTTCTAATATTATACACACAGCTTGGTGCTCTGTTCAAATGTTCACAGTTTTACACACAGGTTATCCATTAGCTGCCACGGAATCTGCAGGAGCAGCTTTTAAGTGAAACTTTGTCATGTGATTGAAACAAGGCATTGCTGTTTCATTTACAACCCCAAATCAGAAAAAGTTTGGACAGTATGCAAAATCAAAATTAAAACTGAAAATAGTGATGTGTAAATCATCTGTGTCCTGTATCACATTAAAAACAACACAGCAGCACGTTATGTGCTGTGGCACCTCATCAACTTCATTCTTTGCTCAAAATAAACACTCACTTCAATTCTGATGATGAAACAAATTCCAAAAAAAGTTGGAATGGCTGCATTTCAGGCAGTAATGAGGTAAAACAATGAAATGATGATTCCATGTAAACCAGGTGATGTCAACAGGTGACTACATCATGATTTGATACAAAAGTGGCATCCAGGAAAGGCCGAGCCCTTTAGGAGCAAAGATGGGCCGAGGACCGCCAGTTTGCCAACATATGTGTGAGAAAATTATAGAAATATTTAAAATGTTTCTCAAACAAACATAGGGAGCAATTTGGATCTGTCACCCTCTATGGTGCAGAACATCATTAAAAGATTCAAGGAATCTGGAGGGATTTCAGTGTGTAAAGGGCGCCAGTCTAAGCTGGATGACCAAGCTCTCCGATTCCTCAGACATCACTGCATCAAGACTCATCTCTCTTCTATAAGTGATATAACCACATGGGCTCAGGAATAAATCCAATGTTACATATTGGATTAATGATCACATTAAATGGTGGGAGTTTATTTACTTTACCTTTTTGTCAGCTAGGATGCTTTAAAATCATGCTCAAGCTGTAGTAACACTCCACACACTGTTCCCATGGTACTTTATTAGACTTTGTCAAAAGTATAATTTAATATTTTCATATCTGTCTATTCAGAAAGGCAAATGACTTAGACATTACATATAGTATAGGCCTACAGCTAGTTAGTTAATCAAGTCTGGACTGGGGAAGACAAAAGGTGAAATGCGATACCACAGTCAGTGATGCCTTGCAGTTAGAGAAATATTATAGAGCAATTTTAGAAAACAGTGTTTTGTACAGCGACATCATCAGATATACTGTACATATATAAAGATGCTACTGTGACTGTACTGTTTTTATCAGTTATAACCCTGACCTACCCCTCTGCAGTGTGCTACATGCTTCTTGTAATGGGCTCAAACACCTGCAAACCTGACTGTGAAAAACACAGAGGTCTGCCGACTCCATGCAGCTCCTTGTTGATGATGGTCTAATTGGTCTGTGGGAATCCTGAACCAATCACTTCCTTTTCCACCTCCTTCCAAAACCAACATAAAACCCAGAACACCTGCGGTACAGATGCCTACATACAGAAATGGCAAAATAAAGCTTTGTCAAAGAATCACCGTTTGGCTTTTCCTGCTGTATGCAGGGCCTTAGCACCCACTACAGTGTCAGAGAGCAACAACCCCCATGCACACAAGAGTATGGCTCATGCAAGTCTGTACAGTACACACAAATTGTTATGGACAATGCACACACAACTGCAGAGGAGATTGTGTGGGGGTGGCTGCATGTAGCACACTGGAGCCCTTACTTGATTCTTCACACATACTGCTGCTTCTTCTTTGTACAACTGAGTGCAACACCATGAAAGTTGGACTATCTCAAAGTGCACACTGTCATCCCCATTGGAGCAATTACTTTCTCACCCCCCTCTATATGACACGATGCTTTTTGCTCCACTTTCAGGTATGGCCAGTCAGAACAGCTTTAAACACATTTGCCTGTAGATGTATTTCAATTGACACATTGTTCAGCTGCATTCTTTGAAACATGCTGAAACCTTCATCCCTCTGTTTTGCAATCGCAATATGTTTTGATAGCAAGAGGTGCTTGTTAGACACTTAACATGTTCAAGCAGCAAGCAAATTCAACATGGAGTACTATCTAGTGTTTAGGGACAAAAAGAGCTAATCAGGAAGCGCTGCAGTACATGTTCAGTTTAAGTCCAAAAAAATCCAGTGAAATGAAAGAGAGACCTAGACAATGTCAGACAAGAAGGAAACATTTTATCACCTTTTTTTGCATATATGTAACTGTTTGCCGATACAGGATTACATTTTACTGTGTTCAAGCTGTATGCCCCAGAGAGAAGTAATCTCCCAAATGTACAGTTATATTGATGGTAATGAAATGTACTGTAGGTTTATAAAATATGAGCTCAGATGTGTGGGATGATACAGAAAGTATAATCTGGTATATATGACAATGCTTTCACAAGCCAGTTTGTTGTTGTTGTTACGGCAAGCCGTACACCAACAGAGTGACAGGACTCAAACCCAGGTCAGAGAAAACTTATTTATTTCACAGAGTATTAAAAACGAAAGGCGGTGGCGAGGGCCAGGCACGGAGAAGCGAGAAGGATCTCTGGGCAGCTGTAGCAACTGAACCACTGGAAGGACAACCTGAGGTCGGCGGAGAGAATTCGCACTGTGTGGGAGAGAGGGAGGATTACAGGCAGACGAGGGGGAGAAGTCTAGAACATCATACTGGGAACCTGCGTAGTGAAGACTGTTGGTCCAGAGCAGGATGGCCGGGCTGACTGGGGAGGCAATCGCAGGAGACCGGAGCAGATGAATAGTGCGGGAGGTCTCAGCAGATGGCAGAGCAGGTCGGTAGTGGTTGAGGAGAACGTGGCAGTGTAGATTCTGGTGCTGAGGGGTGCAGAGTGGGGTTAATGCCAGTGCTATGCCAGCCCGGGCCAGTAACTCAAATAAAGATAATCCACAGTAACCAGTGCTGGGAAAACACTCTTCCGTTAAGTCAGTTCAGAAACAAATCATGCCTCCGCTAAAGCAGTTCAAAAACAAAAACAGTACTCTGTTAAAGCAGTCTAGAAACGAAAACAGTCCTCTGTTAAAGCAATGCAGAAACAAAAACATACCTCTGCTAAAGCAGTTCTGACACAAAACACAATCCTCAGTTAAGGCAATTCAGAAACAAAAACAGTGCATATGGCATGCAGATACTTATCGGAGAGACGCGGTTCAGGTAGGGACAGAGACGAGGTTCAGGTAGGGACAGAGACGAGGATCCAGGATGTGTCACAAGCACGATCGCCGGTCGAAAGATGAGAGATCATCTGGCGACGAGGACACACCAGCGCCATGCTTAAGTATGGTTCTGATAATTGAGCGCAGGTGTGCCTCGCCGCCGGGAGCGTGCTCCTACGTGAGCAGGAGTGGAGTCGCCAGCAGCCCCGGTGTCTGCCGTCGAGGTGCTGGGGATGGCCCGATCCGTGGAAGTAACAGTTGTTGTATTTGTGTGTTATGCACTGTACTGTAAAAACAAGCAGCAGGTGAGTGAGATTTGGGAGCACTGTGCTGATGCATGCTGGGATATCGCTTGTCAGTATGTAGGTCAGGTAGTGGGCAGGATGATGCCTCTAAGCCTCAGAGGTGGAGGAGGAGGTTCTCGAAGGGCAATATTTCTGATCAACAGGTTTATTATCAGGGCTTGTTGTTTTATGAAGGCAATGAACATTGTGTAACTTCCCTCTATAATTTATTAGGTAGAAATTCATCAGGGGGCCTGTGTCAGCGATTACCTTCCAGTATGTGCACTCTGCACTCTGGAGAAAACAAGACTCATTAATATCTCACTTAGAGTTGAGATTTTATTCTTATAGAAACTGAATTAAAATCTTTGAATCAGTTGGGTCAAACACTGTGGTTTTATTTTTGAGTTACAGAATTCATAGACATGCTGTTGTCACATATCACTCCAGTGTCCACTGAGAGTTAAAGTCTATGAAAATACCAATAAATGATTTCTTTCATACATTTATTTAACCTTTATTTAACTAGGGTAAAAATTCCACTGACACTGGCAACCTGTCTTTCAAAGGAGCACTAGCAAGACAGCAGCTTTACAAGTTAAACAGAGAAAACTGCATAACACACATACACACACATATTTTCTAACACGAGAAAATAATATACAAAATTTTCAATATGTGACAAAAAAGGTTACTTCAAAAGTTATCAGTATCATGAAGCCAATATGTGCTAAAAGCAAGAGGAAGTACAACCACTGACTATACAGTGGGGGTGCAACAGTGGTGCGGTGGGTAGAGCCAGCCGGAAAGTTGAAGGTTCAAATCTCAGTACCTGCAGTCCACGTGTTGAAGTGTCCTTGGACACTGACCTCCCCAAGTAGCCCGTGATGGCGGTGCCTATGCTTGCAGCGGCCTGGGGCCCCTTGGCTCCAAACAAAATTTTGTTGTATGTGTCACAATAAAATAAAGCTTCTTCTTCAATAGTCTGGATGTCAAAGTTTGTTAATTTGCTTTTGCAAATGGTTCCAGTGACTCAGCAGAAAGCATGAAAGCTCTCATTCCTGTCTCTGTCCAAACACTATGACACTTGTATAATCCTTTGTATTACTTAGTCTTACCCCATAATCATCAAATTTCAAGTCATAGTTGTCTCTACATTGATGGTTATATTGCAAACAGAAGCTGCTAGCAGCTAAGCAGCATGATGTAAAAATATATACTGTATATACATATTTGAGCAAAGTTAATTCCTTACCACAGAGCCTGCAGTTCAACAAAATGACTTTAACTCAGGGTCCACTTTCTAACTTTTTGTAAAGTTGTGTTCTCTTCAACAATTTTTACATGCTGCATTTCAAGTGAATGACACCAGGGCAAATGAATAATTAAAATTTACATCACCCTAAACATCACTGGGTCCATGCTGGATTAAAAATACTAACACCATTTTTAAAAAAATGTACACATTTTTGACAGAATTAAAGCTCACAATGTCTAATCAAGATTATATTATTTTTATATATTATACATATCACTGACACTCTCTTCTATCCATTCCTATACTGTGAAAGTCTAGTGGACACACAGGCAAAGAACTCAGTGTCAGTTATTTGTT